TGCTCTTCTGAACCGTTGATTACGCCAAATAACTATACAAGGATTCAGCGCCGAGCTTGAAAAAAGCAGAGTGTATGTCCACAACCGCCTGTTAACTTCTCCTTCACCCATTACATCGAGAACAACATCAGGCAAGAAACACAGTAAGGTAGTGCCCACCAAGATGGCTGATGTGATGGCCGCGGCGTTCTCATGCTCTATGGTGGCAGCTTGTTGGTGGTAATTGGCTGTACCTACTTGTTCCGCGATTTTTCTTCTCCTTCGCCTCCAGGACACCCACAGAATTCTGATATAAGTGAAAACCAAGCTCAGTATCATCGCAGCATGGACAGAGGCACCGGCACGTTTTCCTGGTTCCGTTGCGAACACAACACCAATAACTATGGACACGATCCAAGTCAACACTATAACCACCACGAGATCTTTTCTCGCGACGAGCAGAAGGTGATGGAAAGGTCGGGCCAAAGCCTTCATTCTATGATAAGTGATTATAACGAGGTTAGAGAAAACTACATGAAGGCCGATGTAAGCGATTATCTCGAATGCTGCAAGGTAGCTGTTGTTACTCTCGTCGTTGCTAAGATAGTAGACGTACATTGGCTGCGCAACCAGACAGTTTATAAGATCTGCGGCTGTTAAGGACACGATCAACAAATTCAGACCCTTTTGAAGCTCTACGTTTTGGTAAATCGCTACAATCACTAAACTGTTCATGGCGCTTCCAAAAATACTGAGAAAAGCGTTGACAATACTCAGAGAAATAACCCGTGCGGATGCCATGTTAAAGATAAACTGTTATGCGGACGCTCAGCTCTCAGCGCGATCAGCACTATCTTCAGTGTTTAGTTAAGTTTAGAAGCTTTTCACTGAATCTGACTTTGAAAATTATTGTTTGCTTCGTTTGACGAGAAAGCGCACGTCCTTAAATTACAAAATTTGCATTTGTTTGAGTTGTGTCGTCGTAAATTACATCTCGGGATTAATTGTAAATCAACAGTTTTCAGCCGTGGAAATGATTTTCTTCATATCCGTCAAAAAAAGTTACGACTGTGCAGTTTTCCTGGCCCGTGTTCAGCCTTTTCTCGAAACTAAATCTAGAAATTCTCTGTAAAAAAGAACATTTGATTTTTCCAGTGAGGATTCTACCTCGGACGTTCTGACAGAAAATGCGTAGGGGTTGTCATTTTGGACAAAGATAGGCCATGGCACCTGCTCAATTGGCCAATAGAAAAAAACGGATGTTAAACCAAGACTTCTGCACGCTTTGAATATGATACGAAACCGTGACATTTGTTGAAACACGACTAATAGGACACATGCTTCTTTTGGAAATATTCTCGATAAGAAATAGCTTGCACGGCTAACAACGAACGTTTTCAACTGGGGAGCAAAGAGTTACCATTGGCTTATCATTTATGCCGCGGTTATTTGTAATGCATTGCGAGTATTTTCAAAACACCGAGCTTCTGCATAACAAACAGACTTTTTTTGGGTTCATTGAAATTGAAATTGGCCATTAGGCGAAAATTGGTGGCCTTTTGACGCCACAGACTAAAGTTTTTATGGGCTGCAACTTCGAAAACTAATTCATATTGATAACCAAAGCAGAAGTTCAAAATACATAAATCCGTAGAGTAGATCGGAAAGAAAGATAAATAATGTAAAACTGAGTAAACTCGGCGTGAAGCACTATGTAAAGACTTACACCTGTCTAGGATACTAGATAAAAACTATATGACTTCCAGTGAAAGAACAAGAAATTAACGCAAAGCACGAATCACAAGATATTATCGCGTTTGAGTTGTTAGACTGAGAAATGCCTATTTCTATGCTGCTCAATCCGCTATGGGACAGTTTAATCCTTAACTTAACGTTAGCTTCAACGACTGAATAAATTTTTGTTGAGTAGTCATGTCCTTTCGATAACGATCCAGAAAAAGAGGTAAACAGTAAGATCACTGCCTACTTATCGGAAGTGGTCAGTTACAGGTTCCATACTACATGATGACGTACCAGTTGCCATAAATTAACATAAAATAAAAAGAGTAACTGCAAAGCGCTAAGTTATGTTAAGTGTGTATTTTATTTCCCAATACTGACAGAACTGGATAATTTTAACTCAGAACAACATCTAGTCATGGAAAACAACAGGCAACCTGACTTCCACGATACATAAATGCATACAAAACACAGTCGCTGTAGATAGCTAGATCACTCAGTTGTTAATATATTCTATTTTACAAAAGCTACAAAGTTGAACATAACATTACATAAACTTTGAACGAGGGTATAATGTGTACCTCGTAACACCACGGAGAAGAAAATTGAGGCAAAGAGGAAAATTCGTGCATAATAAAATGAAATGCGGAGTTTGAGCTGTCTTTGAAATCGGCACTGGGCAGAATTTTAAATTTTCCTAGTTTTCGAAGAATCTGTCTTGTAGGTAAAAATCAGCGATAACTTTCGTAACCAAATTTTAATCATAAAATTATCTTTTCGAAATATACTTACATTATAAAACGAAATAAAAAGGCATTCAATCCAATGGCAAATAAATTTTTGGTTCAATTCAATCTTTTAATTTTCATGATTCAATCCAATACCTGGAATATTGATTCAATTCAATATACCTGAAATATTGATTCAATCCAATACCTGGAATATTGATTCAATCCAATACCTGGAATATTGATTCAATCCAATACCTNTATGTCAATGACACCAGGCACAAGGTCGATAGGTTATTATAAAAACGTTGAACACTTTAACAACTTACACAATTGAGAGAGACTGGAGACAAGGGCGAGTACACTGTTGGAAAATGCGCGAGCGCAGTTCAGGTCTGTTCGCCACGCCTGCCAGTTGTATTCTTGCAATGAGTGTGTCTGAATATACAATATGACGTTAAGCGCTGCGTATAGTTGTCAAAATGACAACTTGAAGCGCTTTTTAAATCAAGCTGTCACAAATTCGCAGTTCTAGGTTCGAAAGAAGATGAAATTGTTGCTGGCGGCTAGAGCAATTGATAGCCTTTTAGACCGCTTTACTATTCTGTTAGTGATGGTACAAATCACAAACTATTTGGCATGAGGATATCATAATTTACCATGAAAAGCAATAAGGTTTTGATGCCAAATCCCTCTCGTCGCTTTCACACGAAACCTAGTAAATTAGCACGCCACAGAGATATGATGTCAAGAGAAAGAATGATACAGCTTGCCATTAAGGGGTTGGCTCGATGTGATGTAAAATTTTAACGGTGATCAAGCCTTACGTACAAGAAATAAAAAAAGACTTACCTCACTTATAACTCGAGTTTACTGGCTCTTAGGCCAATCCTAATCGCGATCAGTTCGTCAGTCTATGGTTTCCTTTGACTGGGTTCAGCAATTGCTTGTTTTCTTGTGTCCACTTATCGAGATCTCAAAATTAGATACTACACATCAGCCTGATTGTTTTATCTTTTCGTAAATTATTTCCTGAGTCCGACTACTGAGTAATATGACTGACTGTTTTTTGGCGTGGATTAATTATCAAGACCTTTAGCAGACAAAAGAGCATTAGTAGAAAACATGCAAGTATTGGCCTTCAAATTTATATCAGTTGATAAAAGCTGAGTGATGTACTTTCTTTCAGAATAAATGGAATGATAATTTCGTACTAGCTTTGTTATAAACTTTATACAAGCGCGTCATTTCCTATATTCTTACTCATGATTTCGATTAGAAATTGACACAGGTTGTTCTTACTCTAGCTGAACAAAAGCCGATGACTTGCCTTGAATTTGTTTATTAGTTGTTGGAATGACACCAAGCGCTAGCTAGCACGGAGGGCGCCCAGAAAACATACTGCACGGAATAGGCTTTTGCGGTCAAGTTTTAATATTTCCTTACACGCCTTCCTAGTCGGGTCAGGAATTTAATCTAATAACTTACCTTAAATCTGTGAAAAGAATTCTACCAAGAAAAAAACACGTTTCCTTTATTCATCTTAGCAACTTTGTCAGCGTTACGTCGTTAGGGATGACTACTTTAAACAACATCTGCTTGAAAAATCATATCTATTAAGACTTTTTCATTGGTTCAGAGTCCAAAGTCACGCCTGAAATAATGACACCCATTAAACACTGATTGGCCGGTTTCAATTTCACATCAATTTTTTCCGTCGCTTTCTTTGCAGTTTTTCGTGGTATGTAGAATGCTTTGTCTAGATAGTAAGAAAAACGTCCCCTAGAATTGATCGGGCAATTTGCCTTTTTTAAAATTCCTGTGGTGGAGGAATGTAACGTTATCTAACCCAACTTCCCCCAAAATAAATGCAAAGTAGACTACATAGGAACCTGACGAAAAACGATAATTCAGGCGAAATTGTTTTCAACCAAAAGTAACATTTTCCGCTGATTGTTTTTCTTTAGAACTGAGACAATGTTCAATACGAAATTTGGATACCTTTTCGCGAAGGGTGCAATATACCTGCACTCGCGTCAGTATTAAAACTCCGTTACTCAAAAGCCTTTCTATTTCGTAATATTGGCTTTGTGAAAGCTGGATGCAGCGTGAAATGTCAGTTTCAGCCAAAGAATTGTTGGAACGATGTCATCAGCATCCATCTTTTGCACAATAGACTTACTTCTCAGGTGAACGTAAGGCTATTAAAGTTGATGCTTTATGCAAATTATTGCTCTGCATAAAGCTGTGTTTGAAAAAGAAATAACATAAATAAAATAAAGTAACTTTCCGAAGAATTGAATGTATTTTTCGTCGACTCTTTCCTCACAGGCACTACACTTACGAGACAGCAATTATCGAAAGTCACTCGTCAACCAGCTGATCCCAGTGGAAGGATAATTCTGCGACTGGTTTACAAGCAATGAGAGAAAATATCTCATTCAATCAAATATTAGCACTGGCGCGAGTAAATGTTGAATGGCCGATCAGGAGTTGGGAACTCAAAAGCGGTGGTCTCTAATGAAGGAACGAAAACTGGAGAACTCGGGACAAAAATTATTAGTTCTGACTATTCAAATATTTCCAAGCCAGCAGTCAGTCAGCACTTGAATATATTTTCATATCATGTAATGGCGAATGATTGATTGATTGGCAGTTTTATAATAAAACGACAGCTGCGGTTATGTTAAATATAAAGAAAACATTGGAAGCTTGGCCAGTTTTATTTTAGAAGCTACAAAAATCAACAAGTTTTAATTATAACTTCTATCTCCTTTTCCGTCTCAAGATATTGTAATAAACGTACTGACTTAATTTACAGCCTCTAACCTCAGTGTGTTTTGTATTTTGATTCGATATACGTCATCGTGATCTACAATTGTAAGTTTCTGAATTTTCTGAATATACGACATAAAATGGCTATAAAAATAACTGAGACGTCCTACTGAAAAGCATACAGCTCTTTCGTGAACAATCCCGCCCACGAATTAAGTGAAGATTACCAGAAAATTTTACATCTTGTTATATGTTTCCTTTAGATTTAAGATCTTAATAGTTGAGTTAAATTTTCAAACGTGTATTGATTTATATAATACTGACATGCGTCTTATCGACTTAAAATTGCGGTTATTTATAATTTATATTCCACGATTCGCTGCATTATTCAGCCTTTTTTTCGTTTAGTAAGACGAAATCTGTTCGCTGTTCAGTTACGGAGGCGAAATGTGTCAAGCACTGCTCTTCTGAACCGTTGATTACGCCAAATAACTATACAAGGATTCAGCGCCGAGCTTGAAAAAAGCAGAGTGTATGTCCACAACCGCCTGTTAACTTCTCCTTCACCCATTACATCGAGAACAACATCAGGCAAGAAACACAGTAAGGTAGTGCCCACCAAGATGGCTGATGTGATGGCCGCGGCGTTCTCATGCTCTATGGTGGCAGCTTGTTGGTGGTAATTGGCTGTACCTACTTGTTCCGCGATTTTTCTTCTCCTTCGCCTCCAGGACACCCACAGAATTCTGATATAAGTGAAAACCAAGCTCAGTATCATCGCAGCATGGACAGAGGCACCGGCACGTTTTCCTGGTTCCGTTGCGAACACAACACCAATAACTATGGACACGATCCAAGTCAACACTATAACCACCACGAGATCTTTTCTCGCGACGAGCAGAAGGTGATGGAAAGGTCGGGCCAAAGCCTTCATTCTATGATAAGTGATTATAACGAGGTTAGAGAAAACTACATGAAGGCCGATGTAAGCGATTATCTCGAATGCTGCAAGGTAGCTGTTGTTACTCTCGTCGTTGCTAAGATAGTAGACGTACATTGGCTGCGCAACCAGACAGTTTATAAGATCTGCGGCTGTTAAGGACACGATCAACAAATTCAGACCCTTTTGAAGCTCTACGTTTTGGTAAATCGCTACAATCACTAAACTGTTCATGGCGCTTCCAAAAATACTGAGAAAAGCGTTGACAATACTCAGAGAAATAACCCGTGCGGATGCCATGTTAAAGATAAACTGTTATGCGGACGCTCAGCTCTCAGCGCGATCAGCACTATCTTCAGTGTTTAGTTAAGTTTAGAAGCTTTTCACTGAATCTGACTTTGAAAATTATTGTTTGCTTCGTTTGACGAGAAAGCGCACGTCCTTAAATTACAAAATTTGCATTTGTTTGAGTTGTGTCGTCGTAAATTACATCTCGGGATTAATTGTAAATCAACAGTTTTCAGCCGTGGAAATGATTTTCTTCATATCCGTCAAAAAAAGTTACGACTGTGCAGTTTTCCTGGCCCGTGTTCAGCCTTTTCTCGAAACTAAATCTAGAAATTCTCTGTAAAAAAGAACATTTGATTTTTCCAGTGAGGATTCTACCTCGGACGTTCTGACAGAAAATGCGTAGGGGTTGTCATTTTGGACAAAGATAGGCCATGGCACCTGCTCAATTGGCCAATAGAAAAAAACGGATGTTAAACCAAGACTTCTGCACGCTTTGAATATGATACGAAACCGTGACATTTGTTGAAACACGACTAATAGGACACATGCTTCTTTTGGAAATATTCTCGATAAGAAATAGCTTGCACGGCTAACAACGAACGTTTTCAACTGGGGAGCAAAGAGTTACCATTGGCTTATCATTTATGCCGCGGTTATTTGTAATGCATTGCGAGTATTTTCAAAACACCGAGCTTCTGCATAACAAACAGACTTTTTTTAGGATCATTGAAATTGAAATTGGCCATTAGGCGAAAATTGGTGGCCTTTTGACGCCACAGACTAAAGTTTTTATGGGCTGCAACTTCGAAAACTAATTCATATTGATAACCAAAGCAGAAGTTCAAAATACATAAATCCGTAGAGTAGATCGGAAAGAAAGATAAATAATGTAAAACTGAGTAAACTCGGCGTGAAGCACTATGTAAAGACTTACACCTGTCTAGGATACTAGATAAAAACTATATGACTTCCAGTGAAAGAACAAGAAATTAACGCAAAGCACGAATCACAAGATATTATCGCGTTTGAGTTGTTAGACTGAGAAATGCCTATTTCTATGCTGCTCAATCCGCTATGGGACAGTTTAATCCTTAACTTAACGTTAGCTTCAACGACTGAATAAATTTTTGTTGAGTAGTCATGTCCTTTCGATAACGATCCAGAAAAAGAGGTAAACAGTAAGATCACTGCCTACTTATCGGAAGTGGTCAGTTACAGGTTCCATACTACATGATGACGTACCAGTTGCCATAAATTAACATAAAATAAAAAGAGTAACTGCAAAGCGCTAAGTTATATTAAGTGTGTATTTTATTTCCCAATACTGACAGAACTGGATAATTTTAACTCAGAACAACATCTAGTCATGGAAAACAACAGGCAACCTGACTTCCACGATACATAAATGCATACAAAACACAGTCGCTGTAGATAGCTAGATCACTCAGTTGTTAATATATTCTATTTTACAAAAGCTACAAAGTTGAACATAACATTACATAAACTTTGAACGAGGGTATAATGTGTACCTCGTAACACCACGGAGAAGAAAATTGAGGCAAAGAGGAAAATTCGTGCATAATAAAATGAAATGCGGAGTTTGAGCTGTCTTTGAAATCGGCACTGGGCAGAATTTTAAATTTTCCTAGTTTTCGAAGAATCTGTCTTGTAGGTAAAAATCAGCGATAACTTTCGTAACCAAATTTTAATCATAAAATTATCTTTTCGAAATATACTTACATTATAAAACGAAATAAAAAGGCATTCAATCCAAT